TTCGCCACAGAGGCTTTACCATCACGCAACTAACAGACAGCAAAGCACCTCTACCACCACAGCGTTCCACGCACAGCAGAGTTCGCTTTGCTGCATTACCATCTCTATCAAATGAACACAACCCCTCTTCCATTAGGGAAACGACACCACGTCCATCAAGTCCACAGTACCAATACTCCTACTCCGATTGTAGAACACGACAAGATAGTAAATTATCAGGCAAATCTACCACTCAAAACAGGACCTGCCATAGAAACTACCGACGAAACCCTGGTCAGTGCTCGCCTCATGATAGTACCACTCAAAGTGAGAAATGACTCTAACTATAAGGAGGAGCAAGCATATGCACTTCTCGATTCCGCGTCCGATCAATCATTCATTTCCTCCTCCTTAATGAAACGCTTAGCGTTTATTCCACAGTCCGAAAGAACAATGATTGTACATACCTTCGGAGGCCACTCAGAGATGAAACACGTCAAGCGAGTGGAAGTTACTCTGCTCAATCTACAAGAGCAATCTTTGAAAATCCCTGCTTGCGAACGATACTCTCACCCAAGCCCTGACTATGCTAGAACTTCATGCAGACGACAAGATCTTCATTGAGGAACAGTTTCCCGAGTTTAGAGACTTTTGGTTCCACACTACTACCTCCGAGATAACACCTGATATTTTATTGGGCATAGATTATTTCAATGCCATCCTAAGCACTGAACCAATCATCCAACTACCGTCAGAACTATTCCTTACGTCCACCATTTTCGGTCCAGTAATTTCCGGCAGGACACAACAGAACACCATGATAGTAAAGGAACAGCTTAAAGGTAGCATTTCTCATAGCTATAACACCCACTGCTCGTACGATCTACAAAACGTGGACTACTCAGACTTATGGAAATTACCTGGAGTAGGCACGGAAGAACTCCATTCCGATGAAGAACTCAACAATCAGATAATTGCTCACTTTTGTTCAACTGTTACCATCCATGATCGTAAAATCTACGTTCAATTCCCGTGGAAACCCAATAAGTCCAGTCTTGCCGATAACTACAACCTTGCGCTTAGTCGACTCCACCAACTGTATAATATGAAAACCAAAAACCCACAATGCTGGACGAATATTGTACAATTATCCAGGAACAAATAGCCAAACACTTCGTAGAGGAAGCACCCCACCTACCGATCTCCACAACTCCCTTATATTACATACCCCATCAAGCTGTCATCAAGCAACAAGCGCCACAACAAAAACACGAATTGTACTCGACGCCTCTTCGAAAATGAAGGGACAATTAAGTCTTAATGACGTCATCCATCAAGGTCCCTTAATCCTACCCAGTTTGTGTGGAATCCTCCTTCGAGCTCGAATAGGCCCAAAAATAATGATAGCCGACGTCGAGAAGGCCTTTCACATGATTTACTTACAAGAATCAGAACAAGACGCCGTACGTTTCTTGTGGCTGAAAGATGTCAACCTTCCTCCCACCAACAACAACATTAGAATTCTTCGTTTCTGCCGGCTTCCGTTTGGAATAAACGCATCACCACTTTTACTAGGCATCTCCATTCAATACGGCATCGGACAACAAACAATTTGACGCTACGCTTGTCCGACAACTCACTGAGAACCTGTACGTTGATAACGTCCTTATGATCGACATTCCTCACAATCTCTACTCAATACATATTATGCATGCAAACAAATATTCGCTAATATGTCTATGAACCTCCGTCAATTTCTCACCAATGACCAAATTTGTAACCATTTTATTGCCCAACAGGACAAAGCAGTAACACCTACATCGAGAATTTTAGGTATTCCATGGGACTCTTCTACAGACACATTCTCCATTTCATGCAACCTGATATGCTCTACAACACCCACAAAACGCCGAATATTGCAAGACATACATTCTAACTTTGACCCCCTCGGATTACTGATACCGTTACTCTTACTAGCCAAACTCCTTCTGCAAGATCTTTGGAGACATAAACAAGACTGTGATGAACCTCTTCCCAGAATCTACGACACGGCCTGAGATATATGCGACAAGACACACGGATTCCTTGCACAATTTCCACGGGCGCTCATTGGTCAGCGACGACAACAAGCTCGTTATGAACTCCACTCCTTCGTAGACGCATCCGCGAGAGCCTATGCCGTAGCAATCTATCTCGCTCGGAAGATACGTCTTTCTCGGAAGATACGTCTAGCTCTCTTTTAATGGCTAGACAACGATTCGCACCACTCAACACGAAAACCTTGACTATTCCACGCTTAGAGTTACTTGCGTTTCTCATTGGCGTGAGATTCACCAATTTTGTATTGAAAGAGCTTAAAATTCAAACAAAGACCATTACATTATACAGTGACTCCCAAGTGGTCTTACATTGGGTACAATCAAATGCAAAAAATGGCATCTTCGTCGATAACAGATGTCACGAGATCCGAAATACGATATCCTCTTGGTCACAAAACAAGATAGAAAACCACTTGAAATATATACCATCTGAGGACAATCCAGCGGATTATGCTACGAAAGGACTTACAGAAGGGCAAATGAAACAAGTGACGTGGTGGGCAGGACCAACCTTTTTACGACACCATAGATCCCAATGGCCAGAACTACAAGAGTTCTGCTGGCATCCACACTGAAAATAGCGGTTCCTCCTTAGACACCGAAATTCATACTGCTCTAACGACATTAACCACAACAACGACAGCGCCAGCACACCCATGTACCCTTCCCTTCCTCGACAAGTTCTCTTCGATCCACACATTACGACGGGTCACCGCACTGGTCCTCGAATTCATCAAACACTTCCTCTACAACAATCTATCTCCAGACACTCGAGCTCAACTAGACCTTCACATTCCTGAACTTGCTGAGTTTCCGTCCTCACAACCTCCATCTTTACAAGCCACCGACACCCAAATAGCCGATAAACTCATAATCAAACTTATGCAACGCGACCTCACTGAAGAAAAGCGACGACAGTGGGCATCTCTCTCTATACACTGACGAAGCCGGATTGGTTCGGTGTCGCGGAAGAATAAACGCTAAACATTTACCGCGAGACGTCCTAGAGCCCATTTTACTTCTTCCCAACGAACATGTTACTCAGTTATTCATTCATGAGGCTCATCAACGTTGTCGTCATCAAGGAGTAAGCGGTACTCTTGCCAGTCTACGCCTTCGTTACTGGATACCAAAAGGACGACAAGTTATAAGAAAGTATCTTCGACGTTGTATTACCTGTAAGCGATGGAACGGACGTCCATACTACTATCCTGTTTCGCCACCATTACAATCCTCAAGAACCCAACCAACACGTCCCTTCTCACCACTGAATGCGAAGCGATGGTCAATTCACGACCACTCGCTTACTCTGGTAGTGCCATGGACGATTCTCTAATCCTACGACCCATAGACTTCCTCATTCCACGAGCAGACATTGCTCCGTTTGTAAGCGTCATACCAGATCCTGCCGATGAGGATACCGAGTACCTCCCTCGCACATCAACACGCACTCAAGCACTTGAATGTTTCCGTAAGCAACTCACTTACCTAAGACAACTATGGAAAACTTGGACTACCGCTTATCTGCTTGAATTACGTAACTTTCACCAACAAGGCATACGCCAAAAATCATTTACGAGAAAACAACCACTCATAGGAGAACTGGTCCTTATAATGGATAATGATACACCACGTTCTCATTGGCCCCTTGGCCTTGTCACTACCGTAATTCAAGACCCAGACGGGGTTGTACGCTCTTTCAAACTACGCTCGCGCAAATCAGAAATCGAACGATCAATCAACATGCTCATTCCCCTGGAGTTAGACAACGACGACCACATTCAAGTGAAACCCGAACATAATACCACCCATGGCTGTACACCAACACCACACACAGAGGATCTTACACATAACACTTGTACTTCGACACAAGAAAATACTTCAAAACGCACAAGACCTCTACTCCAGCGACTGCAAAAGAACACAAAACATATAGTCGTCTCGCTGCATCCGCTCCCTCCATACATACCCCTATGACTTCGCACACCTCTACCCTATGGAAACACTGGCTCACCCTCGCGCTAGCTATCACATTGCTTCAACCGACTCGTACGCTCTATACCGCGAACCCCACAGGGGGAGTTCACGTAGAAGCAACGCAGAAAGAAGAGAGAATGCAGGTTTGCGCAAATGACTACTGCATAGAAATCAACGATCCAGATCAGAATCTAAATGTTCAGTTCCCAGCTGACATAACTTTACACACCAACCATATCACCCTGAAATCAATAGTAGGCAACTCAACACAGGCCGCCCATTGAGCCTGTCCCCCTAGTCCGTTCTGTGAGCAAATACAGTGCAACTTCTGTTCACAAATGGCCGCGAATCCCGAATGCTGGCCACGAATCGCTATCGCTGTTACAGCTATTTTGCTCTACATAGCTGCCATCACGGCATACATCTGTTGGCAAGATCATACACAAACTGTTTCGCATTTATCGCTAGACCTCGTAGACCCGCTGGCATCATGTTCACTCCTCTTCCATCCTCCGGACGCCCACAGAGAAACACGACGAACGTTCCGACAGTTCAATCCCTCTCTTCAACTCGTTTAGGATTAACACCAATGAGATACATTTCAACTACCATACGACCTGATCGCTTTATCTTTACATGCCTTTATACCAACACATGGCTGTCTAACAAACGGGTATCTTCTACCAACCACGATATCACACTGCGATCCTCGAATAACAACTGCCATAACCAAACAACAGTCATCATTCTCCTGAATCAAATGAACCTGATGCCTGCCTGCAATTAAAATACGGCAATAAGCAATCCATTTCATGCGTGGCATCTCCATGGACAAAACTAATACTGAGATGCCGTAAAAAACTTTATTACTTTACGCGCAAATACGATTACAAACGTTCAATACAAGAAGCGTTGTCCCACATGGGGCATCTGCTCTGGTAAGGAATGCCGCAAAATCGTTTCGACACCCTCGTCGATGAGCTTGCAGAGGCAAATAACTTCACAGGAATCACGTATTGTTCTGAATCCTGTTTAGGCTTAGGCTGTTCATGCGGATACCCCTCCTCTGGATGTCTCTTTTATCGGATCTAGCACCAATCACTTGACGATAGAATATACGAAATCTTCCACTGCCCATCATGGTTTGAAGTGATCTCCCTCGAGGTACAAATTAATTCCATACAACCCATCTCTCATACTTTCGAATTAAAGCCATATGCAAGAAAACAAATAATCATACGAATCGGACCAATTGTGTCATTAAAGGCACATGCAAATGTAATCCAGCCGAAGATTCCATTACTTGCTATTGCACCAACAATAACATTACAGAAAACACACAGCTTTCCGAATTGCTACCCATGCCCATACCAAATGGATTAATCACAGCAGAAAAACACCACAACATTCCAACAATAAGAACTAGTGCCCTTTCAGCGGAAATCATGCTTTCACTAAGCCCCAACATAACATCTATTGCACAAAACATTCAAAATTTCAATTGCCGTATTCTTCATAACCTTGTTGGATGTTATAATTGCATCAAAGGTGCTGTGGCCACTATATTCTGCGAGTCCGACCTCCCACAAGCCACTGCGCAGATAATCTGTGGTCTACAACAATTTACCGTCACTTGCACAAACTACGGCAAATATAAGCACATACTTTTATTCTTTAACAAAGCAAGAATAAACGAGCAATGCCAGGCCCACTGCGGTACACACACAACTATTTTCCAACTCCAAGGAACATTGAACTACATAAACACTATTCGACCCCTATGGCACTACATGAGACTTTGGAACAACGCTAATGCAACAGATTCCTCCTCCAACATCGACATCGCTCTCCCGGACTTCTCACATTTCATTCACACCTGTAAACAATTTCTGCTCTATAGCCTTACAATTCTTACCATTCTTCTCAGCGCGCTCATGATCAGCTACACTCTATTTTGCTCTCATCCTTCACATTCCTCTAAACGAACTTCCACCTTCAATAACATAATTTCGGTCATTCCCCCTCTTAGAATCTTACTTACTCTTCTTACACTTATCCGCTGCTTTCCATCTCATAATCCTACTCGCCCGCATTCCGATACGCCTTCTCGCGTCATCTCGTTTCGTCAAGCACTGAAAGGAGGACGAACACGTGGATGTCGATCAACAGCTCGTTGCCAAAAGCTGGTCAACATTTCGCTGTTTCCTCGCAGCCCCAAACATCTATGACTGAACGACAAATGACCACGATGCTTTCTTCACCGTACTCTTTTGTAATATAATTTTTAAAAGATTTTGGGCCTTTTGTATTACTGTAATTTATACTTATAGTTGTGATAGTAACTATAACTAATCAGTTATTATATAGTTTCGTAATTTAGGTACATCATCACTGTGCTCCTAATTTTGAGGTAATTTTGCTTAATATTGCATATTGAATGCTACTAGCTCAGCTAAGGGAACAATCACAACGTACAAACACCTTAACTTTAAGTGGCGGGGATCCAAACGACAACTATTGGCGTTTACATGACCTCCTTCGTTGTGCGGAGTGTCATGACCCTCAGGTCATGATAATCATATTATTACTTCTTCAAAAGATTGCTGAAAAGTTAATTCACAAAAACAATCAATACAAGATTCGAGCAAGTGGAGCCTCGCAGCCCCATAACGAGCGGCATCCAGCCAATAGGCGAAGCCACCTGTGCCGCCCACTTTTTGGGGTACAAATACCGCGTTCCGGCTGTTCGAGGCAGTCTTCGCTCGGTTCGCTCAACCCAACTGGTCGCCTCTCCAACAAGCGACTCCGGTCGTCCCTCAAATAACCCAAGACGTGTGACGCAAATAACCTAAGGGACGCCACTGCGCATCTAGCCCAAGAACTCAACACGCATGGCAAGGGACAGGCACACCAGCGGACTCGCCACTTAATCGATACACACGACACTAACACTGTTGATTCATTAACACACCCAATACACAACACGTTCCCTTAGACAGTTAGGTAGCCGTAGGTACTCAGTTGTTGTAACCCCGTATACGCTTTGTTGTGTAATAAACACTTTGAAATAAATTGTGTTAGCGAGCAGTCTACCACGAACACGCCGTTTCACATGTTATAGCTTTTTCTTTCGGTGAGACATTGCTTTATTTTCTTTCCATTTTCATTTCCTCAAGTCCAATAGTCAGTGTTCTATATTACACGCCACTATTCTCCGCCAAGTTTTTTTTTGTTCTTGGTTCACTCTAACATCTGTTTCTTGTTTCCCTTTCTCATAAAATTTGCTAATACACAACTAAAACAAGGTGGAACGTGCGCGATTCCGCACGTTTTCATTTTGTGCTGGCGAAAAAAAACCATGAACCATGTTTTTGTTCTTTTGTTTTTTTTACTGATCATCACCATGTTGGGACAGTTTGTATGTTTTTGTGATCAGAATATCGATTGTGTCCTAATTGCGCGGGAAGGGCACGCTATAAAAGGGGCCAGTGTGTACATTACCTTACTCCTGTCAAAAATTTCTTTTAAAGTGAGGGAGGTGCTACGTGACCATTTCTTCCTTTAACGTTAACGCCGGCTATTCATGCAACCAAGTTTGAGTCCGTCAACCTTAATTGTTGAAACGGGAATTTTGCATCCGTGAACCATTAAGGTCGTGGTACTCTCTGGTTTCGGGAGATCATCCTGTGGTCTCTATGTAAATGTTGTTGCATGCGTGTGTTTGTCATCAAATGTGAATCTATACTAACATCTTCGTAAATCTTATTAGAAATATGTGCGGGTCGTAAAGTAGTACTTACAATAATAGTTACATTCCTATTTACATAATTAAATACAACATAATATTTACACTGGTATTTACATAATGAATACAATATTTACAATAGGTTACTAACATCCACATTTGAGCATTACTCGTCCTCTATCCCTGAGCATTCATACATAAATCTATACCTGCTGGTTTTACAAGCCTTACAGATTTGACGTCGCACACCCCGTCCACATACTGCGTGGACCCACGCCCTGCAGTGGGTGCATCGCATTCACTGCGTTTCCCTTGCATCGGGTTCTTCTGGGTCCATGTCTTGGGGCAGGACGGGGTCCTCCTGAGAACAGAGTGAGCAAAATAGTATGTCCTCAGGGTTGACTTGTACGGTCTCGGCCGATTGCGATCTTCTTCTCATCTGTTTGCGAATGCGAGCTCTCTGCAACTGTATGATACATGGCAACCATGTTGAGTGTTCACGCAAACAATGGACCAATCATCCGAATCGACAAATCTAGAGGCGAGATCTGCTTCGCCGTTGAGGGCCCTAGGGATCCACACAAAATCTATGCTTGTGTGCAGAGCATCGCACAGATCCCAGATTTTAAGGGCTAGACACTGTAAATCAGGTTTCAGACTCCCTTTGCTGAGAATGCGCACTGCACACTGACTATCCGTGTACCAGATGCAATGCTGGAAACTTAAGCGACTGCCGAAGGCTTTTGCGCTGGCTAAAATCGCGAATAATTCTCTAGCCGTAGAGGATTCTCCTTGTAGCGTCAAGGGGAGTGGAGATGCTGCTGTAATCTCGGAATGCCCATCACTGTACAACACCGCGCCTGAACCTGATTCTGAGGCGTCTGAAAACACTGTGACGGAAGGCTCAGGAGTATCCGAGGGAATCATAACGGAAATACCCGAAAAAGAAGAGTCAAATTCTTGCCAACTTTGTAACTCACTCCTCTCTTCCGCCGACAAACTCCAGCGAAAAGATAAGGCCGTGCCTTTGGCTTGTTTATCTGCTACAACGGCAACCATGGTTCGCCATCTCTTCTTCAGCTCTGAAGGAATTATCAGATATAACGAGGCGATATAGCCTAACCACTTCAATCTGTCCAACAAGGACGGGCCTCTACTGCCCAACAACTGATGAAAGAGAGCTCTGATCTTATCTCTTCT